TAGGGTGACCAGATGCAGTTCAGTTTGGGGAAATGCATACAGAAATAGGGTGACCAGATGCCTAAATAGGGGAATCTCAAGCAGGAGTAGAGAGGTTATTTTATCTCTGTATTTGGCACTGGTGCAACCACTGCTGGAATACGGTGTCCAGTTCTGGGGTGCACAATTGAAGAAGGATATTGATAAATTGGAGAGTGTTCAGAGAAGGGTCACAAGACTGATTAAAGGATTATAAAACATGCCTTATAGTGATCGACTCAAGGACCTCAATCTATTTAGCTTAACAAAAAGACGGTTAAGAAGTGACTTGGTTATAGACTGTAAGTATCTACATGGGGAACAAATAGTTAATAATGGGCACTTCAGTCTAGCAGAGAAAGGTAGAGCATGATCCAACGGTTGGAAGTTGCAGCTAGACAAATTCAGACTGGATATAAGGCATACCTTTTCAATGGTGAGAGTAATTAACGATTAACAATATACTATGGGGTCATGGTGTTTTTCTAAAAGCTTTTTCTAAAAGCTATCCTCTAGGAATTATTTTGGGAAAGTTCTATGTCTGTGCTATACAGGCGGTGAGACCAGGTGATCACTGGATCCCTTCTGGCTTTATAATCTCAGAACTAGGTACATCAATTCACATGCAAAATTCTCATTGAATTCAATAGGTGTCTTTGCCCTGTGGCTTGTGGTGCGAGCTGCAGCAGGGGCCGTACAACCCCTCTCGCAGCTTCCTAGGGCCCCCTCTCGCAGCTTCCTAGGGCCCCCTCTCATGGCTTTGTGCACCTGTGTCTGTCATTGTCATCCTCTTCACCCGCCCCCTCCCCCCGCTCGCCCAATGTGTCCTGATATTTCACTCTTGCGATCTGGTCACCCTAAGTTCCATAGGTTCACTGTGCGTTCTGTGAAGAAGTATTGCCTTTTGTTAGTTTTCCAACCTACTGCCTATTAATTTCAATGGGTGACCTTTGGTTCTTGTGTTATGAGAATGAATAAATAACACTTCCTTATTCACTTTCTCCATGCCAGTCATGATTTTATAGATCTCTATCATACCCCCCTTAGTCATCTCTTTTCCAAGCTGAAAAGTCCCAGTCTTTTTAATCTCTCCTCATATACGGAAGCTGTTCCATTCCCCTAATCATTTTTGTTGCACTTCTCTGTACCTTTTCCAATTCTAATACATCTTTCTTGAGATCAGGCGACCAGATCTGTATGCAGTATTCAAGGTGTGGGTGTACCATGGATATATATAGCAGCATTATGATATTTTCTGTCTTATTATCTTTTCCTTTCCTAATGATTCCTAACATTTTGTTAGTGTTTTTGCCTGTTATTAGATACATAACTCCATACCCAGTATTTATCTATGCATATTGGGAATATGTTTTAAAGTCTGTATCAAGGCAGAGTTGAATAGGGTGACCAGACAGCAAGTGTGAAAAATCGGGACAGGGAGTGGGGGGTAATAGGAGCCTATATAAGAAAAAGACCCAAAAATCGGGACTGTCCCTATAAAATTGGGACATCTGGTCACCCTAGAGTTGAAAAACAGGTTTTCTGTCAGCCTGTCTCTTGGGCATGTAAATTTAGCATTGTAAGTTAACACAATTATTAATCTGTTAAGTGTAGTTTCTAGAGAGCATGTTCTGTTATAACCCTGATAGGCAAAGTAAGGGCTGGCCTAGTTCCGAGGAGAGAGCTTGGGTGGCTAACGGGCTGTAGGTGTCAGGAACCTGGCACCCGGAGAAGCACAAGCCAGGCTCCCTCTCCCTTGAGGTGGGGGTGGGGAACGAGGTGACTCTCAGACCTGGGCATCCAAGAGCCATTGTAGCTACCTTCTGCGATATGTGTCAGAATCAAACACCTGGTAGCTATAGCCTTCACCGCGATACAGGCATTTCATGTAGTCTCATATGGCATAACTGAATCCAGGATGGAAGTAATGAAGATAAAAGGACATCCACGTTGAGGATGTGGGGGCTAGAGCCCTATAAATGGAGTGGAGATGGCATCTGAGATCCAATGGCTTGTCTCCGTGGCCCCGCAGGTTGTGCTGTGGGGGTGTGAGTTGCAGCTTGCACTAGCGTGCTACATTGTAAGTCCCTTGTGTGGATGCTGCAGGCATAAACTAAAAGGTACTTGGTTCACATTAACTTATTTGCTCAAAGGGGACTTCATTTATGAGCACTAGGTACCTTTTGGTTCACACCCTACAGCATCCACATGGCAGAGTTACAGTGCAGTGTGCTAGTGTGTGCTTGTAGCTCTAACTGCAGGGCAGTGTAGGCGTGGCCTGTGGCAGTAATACATACAGACCCTGTGCAACAGAAACTATGCAACTATTTGAACAAGTTAAAAATTACTAAACAAATGATCAGCTTTCCTAGGCTTAGCAGGTAGACTAAGGAATAGAGACTGGCTCACATCCAAACACCCGTTGGACACTGGGCAGGCTCAGATCCAGGTCTGAGCTGTGTGACTCAGGCCCGTCTTCAGTAGAAACTTACCAAAAAGATGTTCTGCCATGTTCCTGCTCCTTTCCATGGGTGTGTGTGTTTCATAGATATAATAAATACACATGCACATACATACACATGCCTTCTCTTCACAGCAACCCCTGCGTCAGACTCTGGACGCTTTTCCAGTCTCATTTGGAAAAAGGAAAGGTATTGAATCTAATGTAACCTTTGGCAGGTAAGCAGAGAAACTAGGGATGAGCTGGCTATAAATTGTCCAAATGCTGTCAGGCACCCACCTAAAATATATGCTAGACCGTATATATGATATTACCCATACTTCATGGATGCCTTCAGCCTTCACAGTGGCCACCGAAATGAAATGCCAGTTATAGATCTCCAGAGACAGACAATTATTCTCCTATGAGGGCCAGGATGTGCTATTTTAAGTCCTGGAGCAATTCCAAAATAGCATTGTGACATCTGGGGCCAAGGACTGTTTTAATCCTGGGTATCTCAGAAACTGTCAGGGCTATATCTGACTCTCTGGCATTGGCAAGCTGAGAACTCCACTTTTTCATATGGCTTTGAGCATTTGGTATTAGCCACGGGGAAGTGTGAGATACAGGGTAGTTGGTGGTTCTTTCATCAACAGACAATGAATCCATGGAACTCATTGGTGCATGATATTGAGGCAAATAGCTTGGTACACAAAAAGAAAGGGATTAGATGTTTGTATGAATACAGAAAGCCTTCTGAATTGGACTAACAAGGACAAATACAAGAGCTATCCATTTTTCTTTTTGAACAGGAAACTTTACTTCATAGTATGATATCACATAGCTATGTATATTACAGGGTTTTTAGCCTCCCTCTGATGGTGCAATTAGTCCTAGGTATGAACAGGATACTGGTCTGGGTGAATCATTGGCCTGTTCTGGGTGGCCGTTCCCATGCTGATGCATGTGCGTGTGGGAGAGAATTGCTTGCCGTGCAAGGAGCAATGGCCCCACTTCTTTCTAAACATTTAGTTGATTTAGTTGGTCTTGCTTTGAGCAGGAGGTTGGACTAGATGACCTCCTGAGGTCCCTTCCAACCCTGATATTCTATGTGCATCTTCTCCAGGGTCCACGCACCTAATTAGTGGAGCCACGCCTGCGAGGCTCCACTAATTAGATGGGTGGCCCTTCATTCTCTCATGTGGAGCCACCCAGGAGTGCACCTTAGAGGGAACTATCCGCAGACCACTTGAATGGACCACAGTTTGAGAACCTCTGAATTAGAGAACATGCTCGTTTAAAGTTGCACTATGCATTGTTTGGCAGCCACCTGCTTTGTCCACTGCTTTCAGAAAGAGCAGCCCACTGGAGCTAGCTGGTGGGGGCTTGGAACCAGGGTGGGCCGACAGCTCCCCTAAGTTCCCTGTTCATCTGCCACTCAGCAAACTATTAATTGCCGGCAGTTCAAATGTCCCTCTCCCCACTGCCTTGTGCTGCTCCTGCTCTCTGCCTTGGAGCTGCTCCCATGAACCTCTTCCTGGGGGGTGGGGGGAGAAGAGGGGTGCTGTTGTCAGGGTGTCCCCCTCCCCCATTCCTGCCCCCCATCTCCACAGAGCAGGGGAGGGCATGACAGGGCTCAGAATGGAGGGAGCTTCTTGGCAGCAGCTGCTTTCTCAAAGTCTCTCTCTCTCACACACAGGGTGTGTGTCTCTGCCATGCTGTCTTCCTGCCCCTCCCCCCCCCCATTCGTGCTGCCTTATAGAGTGTGAGGCTGCAGTAACAACAATGTGTTATCCCTTGAGGGCTCAGCCGAGTGCTAGTTCATCATTTAGCAGTAAGGCATTCCCTGGGAAATATCCCACCCTCTGACTTCACCACCTCAACCAAGCTTCACAATTATCATTGCTGTGTACAGTATTAAATTGTTTGTTTAAATCTTATACTGTGTATACATATATATTATATAGTCTTTTGTCTGGCAAAAAAAAAATCCCTGGAATCTAACCGCCCTATTCATCATAGAATATAAGGATTGGAAGGAACCTCAGGAGGTATCTTGCCCCTGATCCTTAAATGGCCCCCCTCAAGGAGTGAACTCACAACCCTGGGTTTAGCAGGCCAATGCTCAAACCACTGAACTATCCCTCCCCCCTTTCTCCCCTTGGCCAGCGTAGGGCAGGAGCGGTGACTGCGGGCGGGGGGGGCCTGTGCTGGTGGAGGCAGGGCCGGCTCCAGGCACCAGCTTAACAAGCAGGTGCTTGGGGCGGCCAAGGGAGAGGGGCGGCACCTGCGGCAATTCGGTGGTGGCAGGTCCCTCACTCCCTCTAGGATCGAAGGACCTGCCGCTGAACTGCCGCCGCCGATCGCGGCTTTTTTTTATTTTTATTTTTTTTGCTTGGGGTGGCAGAAATGCTGGAGCCGGCCCTGGGTGGAGGGTCCCATTGGAAAATGAAAGGCTCTGAGGGGGAAGGGCAGGCTCAGGGTCAGTCTACCCTGGTGTAGTGGATGGGGGGCACTAGGACCCTGCGGCAGCAGTTGATGTAGGGAGGCAGTATAGAGCTGCAGGGGAGAGACGGTGCTCCGGGGAAGCACGGAGGGGCGGCAGGTAGGGCCGGGCCCCTGGGGCCTGAATATTGCTGGAGCCCAGGCACCACCAGCCAATACAACTCGCCGCCCCTGGTTGTCAGTTTTGCTAAAAAGCAGAAAAAAATGATTTTTTGACCCCTGACAAACCACCTTGTTCTGCTTTACTCTTTCACTTTCTATTTTAGCCTTCCTACGTGCTGGAGAAAAGAACAAATTCTGCAGCCATTGAACAAGAATTAACAGAAAATTGCATGAGACCAGACTGATACCCAACTGATTCTCTTTTCCAAAATGATTTTGCTTCATAGCCTCACTTTAATTCGTTAATTGTGAGGCACCTCCTGGACTAGGGGTCCGTATAACTGACTGTAGAGAAGCTGGAGGACAGCAATTCTGTAACCACTGAGAAGTGTCTCCCGGTTTCATAAGGTAGGTGGCAGGAAGTTTTCATCCTTTACTTTGTTTTTAAATCCCATGTCCTGTGTCAGCAGGGGAAGGGTAGTGCAGGGCAGCCCTATGAAGGGGTGCAGCAGCTGGCATGCTCCCACTGCATGTGCTCTAGTCCAACCAATATCCTCCTCGTGCCCCCAGAGCTCCTTGGCCTGGCTTCTAATCAGGGAGACCCTGTCTGGCTCCAGGATACATCAAAAGGGACCTGCCCCTTCACCGGAGCTTGACGGGCCCTTCTTTACTGGATAGAGTTATGGGAGCGGGTTGAGGGTTGTTCCTGGGTGGCTAATGGGGCGGTTTGGCAGCTTTGATTTGTTGGCTGGCTGAGTTCATTCGTTCTGTGTGTGGGATAATGTTTTCCTGCTGGGTGGGCGCCAGCCGTTTTGACTCTAATAAATTGTTCAGGCATTTTGCAGGGGTATTTTGACTGGTATTTCACTCTACAGAAAGGCTAATAATAAATAACAGAACTGGTCTTGCATGTTTTCTTCTAGGGAGGTGTCAGAGTTGCCTGGGGACACCAGTTATTTTAACTCCTGCCTCATCCCCCCTCAGCAGCAGTGTCCCATGACTCAGCCAGTCCGCCCTGGAGATGGGGCTTCCCTATGGAGTGTCCCTGCTCATGCTAACCTAGCGCTGTCTGCCTTTAATCTGCAAACATTCCATGCAAGCTGCTGCTGAAGGCTGGAGAGAGCAGGGAGAATTGGTAGCTGCAGGGTGATGAGCTCTGATTTCCATGCGGCCTCCGACTGCCCCCACCCACCTTCTTTGGCATGTGACTACACAAATAATGATGCTGCACAAAGCAAACTGTGGCCAGTCTCCAAGTACCCAGGGATGGCACAGAAAGAGCCTGATTGGCTTAGTTCCCAGTGGAATACCAATGGACAACCTGCCCTAAATTCTCAATTACTGAGGGTCAATTTTCACTCATTGATTGATATATTTGCTTTCCACAACCAGCTCTCTGTACAACTTTTCATGAGTGATGTACCTGAGTATTTGGATTCTAATATCTAAACTATTGTTAAATTTAATCCCCTAAATTTGGGTTATTGCTGATTATGTACTTCATGTATTTTGACTTTCTGGATAATCTAAGCCAGAGGTGGGCAAACTACGGCCTGCGGGCCATATCCAGCCCATGGGACTGTCCTGCCTGGCCCCCGAGCTCCTGGCCCGGGAGGCTAGCCCCTGGCCCCTGGCCCCTCCCCTGCTGTCCCCCCACCCCCGCAACCTCAGCTTGCTCACTCCGCCACTGGCACAATGCTCTGGGCGGCGGGGCTGTGAGCTCCTGGGAGACCGGCCTGACCTGGTCTCTGTGCTGTGCGATGGTGGCAGCATGGCCTGGCTCCAGCTGGGCAGCGCGGCTGTAGTGCCACCAGCCACTGGTGCTCCAGGCAGCGCGGTAAGGGGGCACAGAGCAGGGTGTGGTGGTCAGGGGGTGGGGGTGTGGATAGGGGTTGTGGCAGTCAGGGGGGACAGGAGGTTGAATGGGGGCAGGGGTCCTGTGGGGGGCAGTCAGGAAGGAGAGGAGGGATTGGAAGGGGTGATGGGAGGCAGTCGGGGCAGGGGTTCTGGGGGCGGTCAGGGAGCAGGGGGGGTGGATGGGGCAGGGGTCCCGGGGCGGGGGCATCAGAAATGAGGAGGGGTTGAATGTGGCGGTGGGTGTCCGGGTCAGGGGACAGGGAGCGGGGGTGTGTGGATGGGACAGGAGTCCCGGGGGGCAGTCAAGGAACACGGGGGGTTGGATGGGGCAGGAGTCCTGGGGCGGGCCAGATAGGAGGTGGAGGCTGGGCCATGACCCCCTCCCCTAACCGGCTCTCCATACAATTCATGAAACCCGATGCGGCCCTCAGGCCAAAAAATTTGCCCACCCCTTATCTAAGCACTATACCTAGATGTACAGACACTCTTTTCTTAACCTATGTAAATATAATGTAAATTTTTTTTAACATTAACTTTATTAAGCAACAGCTGGAAATCCAGGGCTAAGGGTCCTTCTAGCCTCTCCCCTTCCCAGGCCCACCCAATAAAGGAGGAACCCCAGGCTTCCTGCAGTGCTGCTGGTAAAAGCCCCTCCCCCCACAGAGCAATGTTTTGTTAGCTTTCTTGGCCTGCAGCTGTTCACTGAGGAGAGGTCTCCATTGAGCAGACTGCTGTGATGGCCAGGTCCTCTCCTGAGTTGGTACAGTCCATCTGGATTAGGCGTTCAGATTTCCCGCTCTGGTGTACAGTACTTTGCATTTATCAACGCTGGATTTCATTTGCTCTCCTGTTGTCCATTCCCCGGGTTGTTCAGGTCTCTCTGAAGTTCCTCACAGCCCTCTCACGGCCTGACTAACCTCAATATCTTTGTGTCACCTTCATCTATCACTCCCTCCCCACCCATCTCATCCCCGTTCCAGCTCATGAATAAGTGTATTAAAGAACACAGGACCTAGTACAGAACCTTGAGGCCCCGCAGTTAATCTTTGGCCATGATGAAAACTGACCATTTATTCCCACTGTTGCCAAGTCAGTTTCTGATCCATGACAATATTTTACCTCTCACCCATGACCTGATTTCTTTAGTAGCCCCTTGAGAGGGACTGCGCCAAAGGCCTTTAGAAAGTCCAAGTAAATTATATCTACTATGCCTTTTGGCACGTTCAAAGAATTCTAACCGATTAATGAGGTATGAATTTTCTTTGCAGAAAAGCCATGACTCAGTTTCCCCAGTTGACTGATGTTGCTGATGCCCCTGTGGATAATCCTTTGAGAGGTGCAGCTGTGCTCTGTTCTATTACTGAGCTGCACACAGAGATAATTCCCCAGGGCTCTGCTGGGTTGTTTGATCTTGTTGGTGCCAGAAACCTGATTCCCCAGAGGGGGCTTTCTCTGCCTGAGGCTTTTGCTGAGTCCTGTGGGATCACAGTCCTGCTTCAGGGTGCTGCCTGAGGCCCTCAGCCAGCTGTACAGCCGGTGTGCACTGACTCCAGCTGGGCCCGCCCTGGGATGCCACCCTTGTGGGCTGGATTGTGACAATCCCGGGCCCCAGTTATACAGCACTCCCTGGGCCCTGCCCCACACTGCACCCCACACACACATTTTCAGTGGCTGCATCAGAGACAACCCACACAAGAACTGTGTGCTGGACAGGCAAGGGCTGCGAAGACTCCCCTTTTGGCAAGCTGGAGTCTCCTTCCCAGATGGGCAGGGGTGGAGGCTGGCAGACCTCCTCCTCCCCCTGTGAGCTGCAGCTGGGTGGCAGCAGGGCCCCCTTCCCTGCGGAGTGGCAGAGGGGGCTGCCCTGTGTGTGGTTTAAGAAAGATACCCCACAAGCCCTCTTTGTAGCACAGGGCTGCAGTTTCGAACCAGCACGGAATTCCCTGGGCTGAGGGCACATGCAGGCCGGAGGTCAGGAGCTTTTGGCCGATAGTTCTGGAACTTATCTAGAAATCGTTCCTGTAAGAGTGGGTTTATTCCTGTGCCAGTGCTGGAGCTGGCCTGGGTTTGGGCCTGACTGTCAGCAGAACTCAGCACTTACTGTGAACCCAACGCTTTGAGCCCTTTGGAAAATCTGGCCTCAGCTGCAGGTGCTGGGCATCTCTGAAAGGTCTGGCCAGAATGTGGGGTTGTCGCACTCCAGTACCCAGTGGAGTCAGCGTAGTCGCACCAGCTCTGCCTATTTACCACTCTCATGTCCTGGATTGCAGGGTCACGCTCACTGACTCACTCACCCAGGGCTTATGTGGTCATCTGGACATCAGGGAGATGGAAGATTCCTCGATGTCCTCCGGCTCTGTGAGGTCACTGCCGCTGCTTGGCTTCACCATTTTCCTCATTTCTCTTCACATTCACCGGCTGGACTCAGGTAGGATTCCTGGTGATTTAGGGTCCAGTCTCTCTCCCACAGAAGCCAGCGGCTCTGCTGGGGAAGGCTGGGCCCTCAGCCTGAGCTCTGTCTGAGGGAACTCGGGGATGATGAGCAGAGCAGCAAAGGTGGCAGCTGGTGGGCAGAGGAGCCAGGGAGTTGGGCAATAACTGTGTCTTGTGGCCTACAAGAGGCCCCCATAGCAAGTCTCCAGCTGGCAGCATGTGGCAGCTGTGCCCAAAAATGTCCCCATGAGGCTGATTGATTTCTGGTTCTGTGGGACGTGTCCTGCCCGTAGGGGCAGTGAGGATGTATAGCTGGGTCCTGCTTGCAGGGACAGTCAGTTCCGTAGAATGGCCCCAACAACTAGAAACTGCGAGTTACAGTGCAATAAAGCAACCCAGGCACACTAGCTCACTCCCTGTCCACACTGGCAAGGCATGTAGAGCGCTCTGACTCCGCGGCTACAGCGCTGCTGGTACTCCACCTCAGTGAGAGGAAGAACGTTTGCTGCACCTTGGCTACAACGCCCGGGCGTCAGTGTGAATGAGGTGTTGTGTTACTGCGCTCTGATTGGCCTCCGGAGACGTCCCGTAACCCCTTAAGTCAAGTGGCCACTCTTGTCATTGTTTTGAACTCCTGTAGGAATGCGGAAATGCCCTTTCAAAGCTCCGTTTCTGTGAAATGCTGTGTGTGTGTGTGTGTGTGAGAGAGACAGAGAGGCGGGGGGAGAGAGGGGATCTGCTGCTGTCTGAACTTACAAGACGGCATGCTGACATGCTCTCAGCCCCCCAAAAACCCACTCTCTCTCCCCCCACATACACACAACACACTCCACCCCCTGCATTTGAAAAGCACTTTGCAGTCACTTGCATGCTGGGATAGCTGCCCATAATGCACCACTCCCAATGCCGCTGCAAGTGCCGCAAATGTGGCCACGCCAGTGCGCTGTCAGCGTGGACAGACTGCAGTGCTTTCCCTACTGCGCTCTATGAAGGCTGGATTAACTCACAGCGCTCTACATCTGCAAGTGTAGCCATGCCCTGAGTGTTCACAATGCGGGGGAGAGCTGGGTAGTGGAGATACTGGGTAACACCTGGTAATAATCCTCCCACTGGTGCCAGTGGGGCCAGGATTTCAGCTCTGGTGCCGAGAAGAAAAGGGCAGACTGGCTTGCGGGGAGCTTGGGGGCTAGGGGGGGAGGGGGGGAAAACAAGGAGTAGCTGCCAGACACAGCAGGGCTTTGATCACACTCTTCCAAACTCTGGGAGAATTTACATAAAGTTACAAACATGATTTTCAAATGGCAAAAATTAAAAAAGGGGAAACCTGGCTGAATCAGGTTTGATTAGAAGTGGTTTGAAAAGGCCAATTATTGTTGGTGGGAAATTGTTTTTAAACTGTTCTTCAAAATTTCCTACCAATTGTTTTTAGTTTGTTTGTTTTGTCCAAAAACTGGGAAGTAAACCAGAAATACTTACTGAGAATGTATTTTAATGAACATTTTTCAATTTTCAGACAAAATTTTTTATTTATGGTTTTTCAACAAGAAGGGAAATTTTTGCCTGAAATTGAAAATTTTCATTTAGCTCAAAAAGCCACATTTGGTCAAAAAATGTTCTGATGAAAAAATTTCAACCAGCAGTAATTTTGATAAAGTGATCAGTTACAGTCCCTGTGAGTGTTTTGCCTAACTCTGAGACATGGCTGAAAGCAGGTTGAATGTAAAGCACAATAATGATATATACTTTATACGTTATAGGAAGCCAGAAAGAAATGACGAGTAAAGAGGAGTTGATTTCTAGGAGAAGGAGCATTTTAAAATGTTTCCCTACGAGTGTAAGGTCTCAGTAAGAAGATCACTTAGGAGATGTAATTAGCCCTTAAATCTAAAGATGAAATTCTGCCTCTCAGGACATGCAGCCCAGGACAGAGCCTGGCTTTTAGTCACCTTTGCATCTCCTGGATCCTGGGTTGTTCCAGGGACTGCAACAGCCCCCAGTGTCAATTAGGGTTGCCCTAGCTTGCAGCAGCCTCCACAGCTGCTCTGCAGGTTGGTATTGGCAGAACGCCAAGTGCTCCAGCCACACCATGTGACACACTTTGGTGCTCTGAGGATACGGTCAAGTATGCCAGCCCTGAGCCACTCCTGTGGGGGGGAGGGGATTGCCCAACCCACTTTACTCTGTCAGAGGACTGTGAAAAGGCCAGAATCCATCTGTATATGACGGGCCAAGGCCACTCAGGGTATGTCTACACTACGGGATTATTCCGATTTTACAGAAACCGGTTTTTGGCAACAGATTGTATAAAGTCGAATGTATGCGGCCACACTAAGCACATTAATTCGGCGGTGTGCGTCCATGTACCGGGGCTAGTGTCGATTTCTGGAGCGTTGCACTGTGGGTAGCTATCCCATAGCTATCCCATAGTTCCCGCAGTCTCCTCCGCCCATTGGAATTCTGGGTTGAGATCCCAATGCCTGATGGGGCCAAAAACATTGTCGCGGGTGGTTCTGGGTACATCCTCCCCCTCCCTCCGGGAAAGCAACGGCAGACAACCGTTTCGCGCCTTTTTCCTGGGTGAACAGTGCAGACGCCATACCGCGGCAAGCATGGAGCCCGCTCAGCTCAAGACAGCAGTCATGAACATTGTAAACACCTCGCGCGTTATCGTGCAGTTTATGCTGAACCAGAACCTGCAAAACCAGGCGATGAGGAGTAGGCTACGGCAGCGCGGTGACGAGAGTGATGAGGACATGGACATGGAATTCTATCAAACCGTGGGCCCCGGCGCTTTGGAGATCATGCTGTTAATGGGGCAGGTTCATGCCATGGAACGCCGATTCTGGGCCCGGGAAACAAACACAGACTGGTGGGACCGCATAGTGTTGCAGGTGTGGGACGATTCTCAGTGGCTGCGAAACTTTTGCATGCATAAGGGCACTTTCATGGAACTTTGTGACTTGCTGTCCCCTGCCCTGAAGCGCCAGATACCAAGATGAGAGCAGCCTTCACAGTTGAGAAGCGAGTGGCGATAGCCCTGTGGAAGCTTGCAACGCCAGACACTACCGGTCAGTCGGAATCAATTTGGAGTGGGCAAATCTACTGTGGGGGCTGCTGTGATGCAAGTAGCCAAAGCAATCCCTGAGCTGCTGCTACCAAAGGTAGTGACTCTAGGAAACGTGCAGGTCATAGTGGATGGCTTTGCTGCAATGGGATTCCCTAACTGTGGTAGGGCAATAGATGGACCCCATATCCCTATCTTGGCACCGGAGCACCAGGGCAGCCAGTACGTAAACTGCAAGGGGTACTTTTCAATGGTGCTGCAAGCACTGGTGGATCACAAGGGATGTTTCACCAACATCAACGTGGGATGGCTGGGAAGGGTTCATGATGCTCGCGTCTTCAGGAACCTTACTCTGTTTAAATGGCTGCAGCAAGGGACTTACTTCCCAGACCAGAAAATAACAGTTGGGGATGTTGAAATGCCTATAGTTATCCTTGGGGACCCAGCCTATCCCTTAATGCCATGGCTCATGAAGCTGTACACAGGCAGCCTGGACAGGAGTCAGGACCTGTTCAACTGCAGGCTGAGCAAGTGCAGAATGGTGGTAGAATGGGCATTTGGACGTTTAAAAGGTCGCTGGCGCACTTTACTGACTCGCTCAGATCTCAGCCAAACCAATATTCCCATTGTTATTGCAGCTTGCTGTGTGCTCCACAATCTCTGTGAGAGTAAGGGGGAGACCTTTATGGCGGTGTGGGAGGCTGATGCAAATCGCCTGGCCGCTGATTACACACAGCCAGACACCAGGGCGATTAGAAGAGCACACCAGGAAGTGCTGCGCATCAGAGAAGCTTTGAAAACCAGTTTCATGACTGGCCAGGCTACCGTGTGAAAGTTCTGTTTGTTTCTCCTTGATGTCTAGAAAGGAGTACGGCAGAAAGGGATCTAGGGGTTATAGTGGACCACAAGCTAAATATGAGTCAACAGTGTGATGCTGTTGCAAAAAAAGCAAACATGATTCTGGGATGTATTAACAGGTATGTTGTGAGCAAGACACGAGAAGTCATTCTTCTGCTCTACTCTGCTCTGGTTAGGCCTCAGCTGGAGTATTGTGTCGAGTTCTGGGAACCGCATTTCAAGAAAGATGTGGAGAAATTGGAAAGGGTCCAGAGAAGAGCAACAAGAATGATTAAAGGTCTTGAGAACATGACCTATGAAGGAAGGCTGAAAGAATTGGGTTTGTTTAGTTTGGAAAAGAGACGACTGGGAGGGGACATGATAGCAGTTTTCCGGTATCTAAAAGGGTGTCGTAAGGAGGAGGGAGAAAACGTGTTCACCTTAACCTCTAAGGATAGAACAAGAAGCAATGGGCTTAAACTGCAGCAAGAGAGGTCTAGGTTGGACATTAGGAAAAAGTTCCTAACTGTCAGGGTGGTTAAACACTGGAATAAATTGCCTAGGGAGGTTGTGGAATCTCCATCTCTGGAGATATTTAAGAGTAGGTTAGATAAATGTCTATCAGGGATGGTCTAGACAGTATTTGGTCCTGCCATGCAGGCAGGGGACTGGACTCGATGACCTCTCGAGGTCCCTTCCAGTCCTAGAATCTATGAAAACCCACCCCCTTGATTGACTCGTTCTCTGTAAGCAACCCACCCTCCCCCTTCGATCCCAGCTTGCTTTCAAAGGAAATAAAGTCACTATCGTTTAAAAATCATGCATTCTATATTAATTGATTATAAAAAGAGGGAAAGAACTGACAAGGTAGCCCGGGTGGGGTTTGGGAGGAGGATAGAAGGGAAGGAAAAGGCACTAAAAAAGTTCAGTGTAATGACAGCCTTTTTGTTGGGCTGTCCACTGGGGTGGAGTGGGAGGGTGCACGGAGCCTCCCTCCCCCCCCTCCCCCCGTGTTCTTGCATGTGTGGGTGAGGAGGCTATGGAACGTGGTGAGAGGGGAGGGAGGTTATACAGCGGCTGCAGCAGCACTCTGTGCTCCTGCTGCCATTCCTGAAGCTCCACCAGACGCCGGAGCATGTCCGTTTGATCACGCAGCAGGCCCTGCATTGCAGCCTGCCACCTCTCATCTCGAGCATCCCTCATGGCCTCACGTTCACTGGCATCTTTCTTGTACTTTGATACCATGTCCTTCCACTCCTTCAGATGAGCTCTTTCATTGCAGGTGGATTCCAAGATTTCCGAGAACATTTCGTCTCACATCCTCTTTTTTCGACGCCTTATCTGAGATAGCCTTCGGGACGGAGGAGGGAGGCTTGAAAAATTTGCAGCTGCGGGAGGGAGGGAAAAAAGGGAGAGAAGTATTTAAAAAGATACATTTTACAGAACAATGCTTATACTCTTTCATGGTGAACAACACTATTCACATTACATAGCACATGTGATTTCGGTACAAGGTCGCATTTTGCATCTTAATATTGAGTGCCTGCGGCTTTGGTGTTAGAGAGCACAGACGCAGGTCCGGGCAACAGAATTCGGCTTGCCTGCGGCCATGGTAAGCCATTGTCTTTTGGCTTCTGCAGCTTTCCTACAAGCAGCGCCCTCCTTTCCCACATACCAAGCAAAGCCCGTTGAGTGCTGCAGTTTTCCTGTTAATGTGCAGCAGCAGAAACCAAACTAATCCCCCCACATCCAATTCTCTGGGATGATTGCTTTATCCCTTCCCCCACCGCGTGGCTGGTATCAGGGAAGATCCCCCCCACCCCCCCGCGCTTAGCTAACTGCAGGAAAGGATTTCTTTTCAGCCACAGGCAAACAGCCCAGTAGGAATGGTCACCTCTGTCCCCTTAATTAAATTCCCGTATTTCAACCAGGTTACCATGAACGATATCACTCTCCTGAGGATTACACAGCGAGATAAAGAACGGATGTTGCTTGAATGCCAGCAAACACCGGGACCATACGCTGGCAGGCTTTGTCATGCAATGATACCAGATTACTTGCTACTAGCATGGCGTGGTCAAGTGTCCTACCATGGAGGACAGAATAAGGCTTGTGGAAAGGCTTTTAGAATACCTCCAGAGAGCTTCATGGAGATGTCCCCGGAGGATTTCTGCTCCATCCCTAGACACGTTAACAGACTTTTCCAGTAGCTGCACTGGCCACGAATGCATCCCAAGTCCTCAGGGCAAATTAATCATTAAAAAACGCTTGCTTTTAAACCACGTTTTATATTTACAAAGGTACACTCACCGGAGGTCCCTTCCATGGCCTCATTGTCTGGGGGTTGGGAGGGTGCTTCAGTCAGGCTGAGAAAAAGATCCTGGCTGTTGGGGAGAACGAAGTGCTGTGTGCTCTCCGCAAGCTTGTCGTCATCCTCCTTCTCCTCCTCTTCCCCATCCACAGAATCCTCAGGCATGGCTGAGATTACCCCCGCCTCGGAATCCACGGTCAGAGGTGGGGTAGTGGTGGCAGCCCCCCCTAGAATTGCATGTAGCTCAGCGTAGAAGCGACGTGTCTGTGGCTCTGACCCGGAGCAACCGTTTGCCTCCTTTATTTTTTGATAGGCTTGTCTGAGCTCCTTAACTTTCACGCGGCACTGTAGTGAGTCCCTATTGTGGCCTCTCTCCATCATGCCTTTGGAGATTTTTTCAAAAGTTTTGGCATTTCGTCTTTTGGAACGTAGTTCTGCTAGCACTGAATCCTCTCCCCATATAGCGATCAGATCCAGTACTTCCCGTACGATCCATGCTGGTGCTCTTTTTCGATTCTCGGACTGCATGGTTACCTGTGCTGATGAGCTCTGCATGGTCACCTGTGCTCTGCACGCTGGGCAAACAGGAAATGTAATTCAAAAGTTCGCGGGGCTTTTCCTGTCTACCTGGCCAGTGCATCTAAATTCAGATTGCTGTCCAGAGAGGTCACAATGGTGCACTCTGGGATAGCTCCCGGAGGGCAATACCGTCGAATTGCGGCCACACTAACCCTAATCCGAAATGGCAATACCGATTTCAGCGCTACTCCCCTCATCGGGGAGGAGTACAGATATCGATATTAAGAGCCCTTTATATCGAAGTAAAGGGCTTCATTGTGTGGACGGGTGCAGGGTTAGTTCGTTAACGCTGCTAAATTCGAGATAAACTCCTAGTGTAGACTAGGCCTCAAAGTCAGTGGCAGAGCTGGGAACAGGATGCAGGTGTTCGTGGCTTCTAGTCCCACGCTCAGTCCCCCAGCCTCTCAGGGCTCACAGCATCACATTGCTTCCATTTATATGACGGTCACTGTGTCTGTGCTCTGCCCTGCCTTTAAAAGGTCTCTTGAAAATAACTCCTTCCGCATGCCAGACCCTCAAGGGGTCACATTTTCCAAGAGGGTAGCCACCTGGCCTCAGTGGCTCTGAGACCGGCCTCTGGGCTCTAGCTCTCCTGTTTCTCATGGTGAGCACTGCCCAGTGACTACAGGCTAGGGTTTATTAGTTTATTACTCAACTGGAATACGGAGTTGGGAAATCCTTAGGTTAGCACAGAGGGGCAGAGGTTAAAACACGGCTCATAGTGGCTGAAGCCAGGGCTCCACTGAGCCAAGCTGCTGTAGGATCCCTCTGGACTCTCTCTGTCCCTTTGCCTCTGAGTCCAGAAGGAAAGGCCCTGTGTGGCTGTGAATGCTGTTTTTAACCCAGGCTCCCTGACACCCATCATCCCCTGTTCTCCTGCTGCCAAACCATGCTGAGTTCATATATCCAACCTGCACTGGCTCCCCAGCCATTAAGTGATAATGTCCCAGTCCCAGCTCTTCGTTTTTCTCTTCCAGACTGGATCCTGCATTCACAGGTGCAGGTTGTATCCAGTTCACTTTAATTATTCTGGTCTGGAACCAGGAGACAACATATTTCAGACACCTCATGCCTTCCGTCTGTCTGGAGAGGCATTTTAACCCTTGTGCATTCAGGGGGTAACAATACAGAGTCTGACGGGGAGACCCATTGCTGATAAAAATATTACAGTAAATTCCCATTTCCATCGCCATGACATATTCCTAGTTCCACTGTAGCTACAGTTTAATTTGTCCTGGTTCCTTCTACAGTGAGTTTCAAGGTGATTGGACCCGATGGCCCCATCAGGGCACTTGTGGGAGAAGACGCTCTGTTACCCTGTCACCTCTCCCCCAGGATGAGCGCTGAGAACATGGAGGTGCGCTGGTTCCGATCCACATTCTCTGCAATTGTCCATCTCTATCGGGATGGGAGAGATCAGGTTGGCCAGCAGATCGCAGCGTATCGAAGCAGGACGAAGCTACTGAAGGACGGTATTGCTAATGGGACTGTCTCCTTGAGGATACACGACATCACCCCCTCTGATGAAGGGACTTACGGCTGCCTCTTCCAATCACCCACCTTTTACGAAGAAGCTGTGTTGGAACTGGAGGTGGCTGGTCAGTAGCATGGGCTGTTGTTTACCCTTCCCAGCACCAGTGAGCACTGGTCAATGGTGTGTCTCACCCCCATCCCCACAGTTCTGGTCTACTCAGACTAGTCACCTCTCACAGGAAAGGCACCGGAGCGCTAGGGAATGAGGCCGGCTGTTAATGGGATTGATGCACCCGCCTGCCGACTCCTCACACCCCCTGGAGTAACCAGCTCCGTGTCCAGCTCCTCCACCCCCCAGCTGCTGGGGCATCTGTCTGAGCAAGGATCAGGGCCCATCTGTTTCCCCAACCTCCACTCTGGGGATATGCCCCAGACACAGCTGCTCATCCCAGGGAGTGTGACCCCTTCTGCCACAATTTCCTTGGGCACTGAGAGAGTTTGTGGAAATCTCCCAGAAGCCTCTGCTTCCAGGAGCTGATAGAAGACCTCTAGGTAGCGCGGTGTGTCTATGG